CACCCCCGCCCCCAGTCCTCAATCCCAGCTGCGTGCTTAATCTGCGCCTCTGTGGGGCAGGCTACGGATCTGAAGAATAAAGTACTTGGAGATCAAACACAAGCCAGCACAGGAGAACTAAATAAGGCCAAGTCCTCAAAGCTTAAAAGAATTTTCAGACAGTTGAGGATGTAATATGGTGAGAAAGTGGCACTTGGGGACTCATTATCCCCTGAGGCAGAACATGCTGAAAAGATAAAGAACTGGTTCCAAAAAGTTTAGATCTAAATGGTACTGTAGTGAACGGCTTGTTAACGATGGCAGGGCTTATCGGCAAACATATCCCCAATTTCATATAGCCAAGGATCAGGGGGGCCCCCTGTGCTACCCCACAGACCTCCCCAGGGCCTCCTCCTCGGAAGGGACTTCGGGGCAGAAGAGCCCAGCAGAGATCATAGCTCCCTCTTCTGTGCCCACCCCCCGACGCCTGCTCCTCGCATTGGATCACAGTGTTTATCTCCCCCACCACACCAGGAGCTCCTTAATTCAACAAATTCCATCAATTTCTGCAGTTCTACACTTAGCATTTGTTGTCTGCTCTGAGGTCGGGTATTTCTCTTTGAATCCCTAACATGCCAGTCATGTGGTAGGTGTTCTCTAAGTGTCTCATAAATGAACATCTCCCAAAGGAGTGCTAGCAGCTCATGTTTGCGGAATGCTGTGCCAGGCAGGGTCCTAAAAGCTTTGAGTATTTTCACTCTCTGATTCCTCATTAGAAACTAGGAAGTAGGTACTCTTGGCACCTGGGGCCAAGGAGTTAAGTGGCTTGCCCAAGGACACACAACTGCTAAGTAGAGGAGCCAGGATTCGAATCCCAGCAGGCAGGCCTTCCGGGCAAGTGGCCCGAGGACAGGGACTATGGAATTAGTATCAGCTGCTCCGTGCACAGGGCTAGTAGCAGCTGGCTGGCTTGGGCCAGTGATGAGGTGCAGTGGGCATGGCCAGGATCCTAGTTTAGTGCAAACAGAAAATCCACGTCCAAAATCCCAGCCATCCCCAGCATGTTTTAAATAGTAGCCCAAACCAGGTAGCCATAAGCAGGGAGCTGGCCGCGTGCCAGTCACCTGTCCCATGCCACTGCTGCTCTGCACTTTCTTCTGTTTCCTGGACTATTCAAAAAGTCAGGCAACATTTGAGGTGGGCTAGCTGTGAAAGGCAGTGAAACCTACTGGCCCCTTCGAGCAGTTGTTGGCCCCAACAGGGGTTTGGAAAGGACTGAACTATATACATAAAATGATCTAGAGCGTACTACAGAATATCATACTGATTGCTGTTCTTAGGAACAACGATAAACCCATCTACTCAGTTGCCAGTATTCTCCCAGAGAAACAAACAAACAAAAAAGACAGCATGTGGATTAGCCTGATCTTGGCACCAGGAGAGGGGGTGAGTCTAGAACCCCCAAGGGTTTGTGGGGGTCGAGAACTCAACGTTTGAGTATTTATCTGAGCAAAAGGCCATTTTACTAAAGAACAAGTTTGGGAGAGTCTTCTGAAAGTTTTAAAATGGTTTGCAGGCCCCAACACTACTCTGAGAACATTCTCTCTTGGGGGCAGAGCTCAATCGCACAGCCTGGAGGCTTTCAAAAGGCAGAACGAAGGTATTTTTAGAATGAAGCCCAGGCCCCGCCAGATTTCTGTAGTGCTTTCTGGGGTACCTGCAGGCCCAGTGGCTGTCTTTAACACCCAGGTGGGGGTGTGGCAGCAGGGTGGTATAGGAGTCTTGTGGTCAGAGAGCACCACATGTGACACCTTTCCTGCTCCATCCTGAGAGCAGCTCCAGCCACTGCCCAGCCCTGTATGAACAAGGCTCAGGTCACCTCCCTCTCTTTTTGGTTGGTACCAGGAGCTGTGAAACATGTCAGGCGATTTCTCTGCAGGTACACGCAGAGACCCTCCCCACTCAGACCAGAACAGAGTGAAAACTGCAGGGGAAGGAGCGCCTTAGCAGTAGGAGTATGAAAAATGAAGCGAATGCGACACGCGCCGCCGCTCGCTTTGGTAAATATTTTACAGATGCTGGCTCCCAAGCTCTGGCAACCCCGAGACATGCACATCAGTCTGCCCGTGGGTAGGCTGCCACTCTTCACCTTCCCCAGCTTTCCCAGGGAGGCGAGAAGGACAGTTTTTAAAGATGCTGAGAAGCCCTGGTTCTCCGTGAAATTTTCCCTACGCTGTCTAGATGCCAATACGCTCACAATTCTTAGCCTGCTAAGAGGAAGCAGGGTTAGCAGAGGGGAAAAACAGAAGAGCTCAGAGTCCAAACACGGTCCCAAATAGAAGCAACTACGTACCGTTCTGGTCTTCAGCACCACACACTGCAAAGGAAAGAAAAAGAAGATGTCTGAATGTGTGATGGCGTGAGGAACGTCTCCAACCAGCCTGTCCTCACTTTGTGCTCGGACCACTTCCCTGCTTGGGAGCCAGGCTGGCCAAGAGCCCAGCCAGACGCCCGCCCTCCTCGCTCACACGCTCAGAGCTCACACACAGCTCCCGCTGGCGTGTCCGGTCCAGTCTTGGTAAAAGGGATTCCACTGGTTTGGATGAACAACACTGCCAAGTAGGCAGGACCCTGCAGAGGCACAGTATCCTTTTCTATCACTTTCGAAGCAGCATTAACATCAAGAAGGAAGGAACAGTCAGCCAAGGAGTCTGGATGAGGTACTCCCATGGGGCCATGTCCTATTCCCCAGGACATCACAACTCTACAGGGATTTTGGGGACAATCCCAGAGAGGAAAGTGAGTCTGTGAGCAGGCGACTAGTCAGACATCCTCAACTCTGATAAACTAGTGGGACAGGAGAGCCTGAAATCGGATCTCGACCACCAACAGCATGCACGGAATCAAAATGCTGATTGTAGAAGCTAAATCAGGTGGGGAGGAGAGGGCTCTGGGTGAAATTTTAGGAAAAGAGGAGTTTAAAAACAGCTGAATACACACTCCTCTTCCGCAGGACTTCTCTGCCTTTCCTATGGCGTCCCTCATGAATCGGTAATAGGGAGACGAAGTTCTTTCCCCAAATTCATTCAACCACAGGCCTAGATATTTTACTGGGCACTGCCTAAAACTGATGCCGTGTAGAATGCTTTGGGAAATGACTGCAGGGAAAGCCCACGATCAGGCAGAATAGATCTATTCCCCTGTACCACGTGTGCAGACGCACCTCCTCATCTCCCAACTGCTCAGGAGGGTATTGCTGGGCGGGGTATGGCGGGGTGGGAGGGGGGGAGGGGGACACGTGGTGGGAAAGGCTATGGACTCCGTCCAGGATGCCTTCAGTTCAAATACAGGCTCTATAATAAAAGGGTAATGCCAATCATGCCTATTTCGCAGGCAGCTCTGAGGATTAAATGAATGTACACGGTGCCTAACCCGGTCCTGGCACTCAACTTCAAATGGCAGCTATTACTGGCCGGTGCAGATGCGTAAGGTGACTCCTTCCTTGGCTAAAAGCATGGAAATCTAGTCAGGTCGGTGCCGTCAGGCTTTAGAGTGAGAGCAAGCAAGCGGTCCGGGTCCGTGTGCAGCTGCCGCGCAGCCGGCCCCTCACCCAGGTGCTGGAGGCCCTTCTGGTCCTTGTACAGCCGCGTCACCCTCTCCATCAGCTCCCACTTCTCACAGCAGCCCTTGTAGTTGACGAAGTTGCGCGCCAGGATCTCCTTCAGCTGCCGCACGGTCAGACCTTCAATGTCCTCCAGGTCGGTCAGGTCAGACAGAGAGGCCCTCCGGCCTGGGACGAAGCCGTCCTCTGAGTCGACAGACTGCAATGGCAACGGTGAGATCGGTGGGCTCAGCTCTTACCTCCCAAGCTCTCGCCAAGAGACCGTACTTCTGGGCCCGACCTCAAGAAGTAAGTAGGAACAGAGGCAGGAAGAGGACCTGGCCTGGTGCTTTGCTTTGCAAAAGAGCCCCCAGTCTCTTCCTGACCCACGGTCCTGGGCTCAGGCACAGCCAGCCCCAAACCCACCAACCGGTGTCATACAGGAGAAGGCGCACCGGTTTGAGTCACGCGGCCCGAATTTTGACTCCTCCACCGACTGATGCTAAACACCATCGAGCAAGTTGCTCGCCTCTCTAAGCCCGTCTTCCCCTCTGTAAAGGAGAAATTGCCGTCCTGCCGCACAGGGTTCCTGTGAAGATTAAAGGTAGCAACACAAGAAACCACCAAGCATGGCGCTGGCCTTTCCCCTCTCCCCTGGAGTGAGTTCTGCTTCCCTCTGGAAGAGGCAGACTTCCCTGGCCAGCACTCCTCTGTACGCGACCTCGACCACAGCTTCGTGGCCCTGCTGGCTGTGTCCTCTGGACTGGCCCCGCCGTGGCTGAAGCCTGAACTCCGTCTCATCTTTCCTCCTGATTTTCTGACCTCCTTCTCCTGACAATAGCTACTGTGTGCTAGAAGCAGAAGAAAAGAACGACAAGATTTGCGTGGCAGCACCAGGAGCCTGCCCTCTGGCGACTTACAGAAAGGCAAGAGACTAGAAACAAAGGGGCCGCGAGGCTCCCTGGTCTCCACTGTGACCTCACAACTCCTCACTTAACAACTGACGGCTTCCAAGGTTTATCTGGAACACTAACACTAAGCTCCACCCCTGAAAACAGAATTGTAAGACTATCATCACAGGCTGATTCTTCACTTTTGAGTCTGCTGAGAGGGTCCCAATCACAGCCTGGCAACACCAGTGAAAGAACAAAGGCAAAGGCACAGACCCGAGCAGAGGCCCCACCTGGGTCTCATCCTCAGCAGGTGCTCTGGCTGTGCTCTCCGGGTAGACGGGTTCCTCTTGGTCCTGAGACACATGGCCATTGGCCTGTGGGAAGAGAAAGGTGCCATCACATCCACAGAGACGACCCAGGGATTTGCACAGCATGGGCCTCTTCCCAGCTCATACCATATCCAAACGTATTCCCATCTCCCCCGGAAATCTGGTGTCTCGAACCACAGCATTACAAAAGACTGCTCTTTAATACTAACTCTGTCGGGGGGAGAAACAATACAAACAGATTTCAACTCTAAAAAACAAGCAATACATTACTTCTGCTCACCACCAGGGTGGCATTAGTGGCCACTCACCATCAATGTGATCTCAGCTTGAACAGTCCAAGTGAGGGGAGGACCACAGGTCCACTGCACTGCAGGCTGCTCTCTAACTGCCATCCAGGTTCTCCTTGATGCTGATCCCAAACTGCCCTTCCTGTAACTTCTACCCACCATCCTTGGTTCTACCCCTGGAACCAATGTCCACGATCTTCTCACAAATTGTTCACGTCATGTCTTCTCGCCTCCACACCATATCTCCCTGGCTTCCTCATTTGACCCAGATGAGACTTTTTAGACCCTTATCACTCTGTTCCCTCTCTTCCATCCAGTCACTGCTCTTACATTCTGGAAATGTGCTCCGACCAGCAGTGCACACTATTACTAAGAGCTATCTTGATACCTGGTCAAAAATTACCTTAATGCACCAGAGAATCTATTAGCCTAAAACTATAAAGACAGATGTCTATGCTTAAGGAGTTTAGAATTCTAACTTCTCAAAAGGCTTTGTCAAAGAGTAGTTAAAACTGTGAGCCTCCTAGTTCCATCACCATTTTTTTTAATGTATATTTTGAGAGACAAAGAGAGAGAATAAGTGGGGAAGGGGCAGAGAGAGAGGAAGAGAGAATCCCAAGCAGGCCTGCACTGTCAGTAAGCAGAGCCTGACACGGGGCTCAATCTCACCACCTGATCATGACCTGAGCCAAAATCAAGAGTCAGATGCTTAACCAACTAAACCACCCAGGCACCCCACCCCACCCCCGCATCACCATTTAAGCCACAACCCCCTTAACTAGAGCCTCTTCACCCACTGCTCCCTCCAAGCAAAGGCCCTGGTGTGAGCCAGGAGCAAACAGGTGTCTGAGCTCACAGGCCTTTCCTCCAGACTCTCAGAACAATAAAGGGACAGCCCAGGAAACCAGTCCCCCATGGCCCCAACCACTCATCCCAGATTACGATGCATGACATAGAGCTAATTAAGAAGAGGCCAATAACTACAATGGAAATGAAAAGTAAAAATCACCACCACCACCAAAAATGCCAGGTGGTGGTGAGATCACACATGTAGCATACATGTACGGGGATGCACCCAAAACAGTATCTGGTTCTCCCTTAGCTTTACGTGGATGTGGTACCCACCAGTCTCCTGGAGTTACAAAGCCTTTCCGAGCCTAACCTCCTAAGTAGACAGCTTCTGTATGTCCTTTTTTCCTGGAAAGAGAAACTGGAATCCACACTGCAAAGCATGCTCTTGTCTTTTCAGTTTGCCCACTGGCTAAATCAAAATCTGTAACTAGTGTCCACCCACTATTTTGCTTATTCCACCCACTTCTATCCCTAGTAGTGATGGCCAGGGTGCTAAGGGGAAGGGAAAGAAGCCTGGAGCGGACGCCATGGCAGATTTGCATCCTAGGTGCAGGTAGTCGGCACGAGTTACTTGACTTCCCATGTCTCTTCTCCTGGCTTGAAAACTGCAGATGTCACCAGAACAGGGGATGTGAGCTGTGACCTGCGGGTGCAGCCTGGAACTTCTGCTTAAGGGCAGGAAGTTAAGAACCTACTCCTTTCATGGAAAAACCCACCTGAAAGTTCTTTAGGGAACAGCAATTTCCTCAAGTTACTTTCCGGGCTCCCCATATACAGGAGAACTCAACCCAGCCAAGGGAGGAAGTCACACTAGGGGGTAAAACCTGCCAGGAGACAGAGCCCCAGTGTAGGGAAGAGTTAAACTCCAGCTGGGGAGAGGGCACACCACAGCCCCCAAGAGAGCTACGTGAGTTTACTGCAGGTGAAGTAAGCCAGCACCCTGGCCTTTATGCCTCAGTGCCTGCCAGAGCTGAATCGGGGGCCCAGTCCCGGCGAAGGAGGGGGTCACAAGCAAGAGGCAGTGGCCAGCCACGGCCTGCACAGGACCTAACACTAGTGCTAAGCCAGCTGTAAGAGGCTCCCAGCTCTTCAGACCCACTGTCACGCCAGCCAGTCCTCCCAACATCCTGGTGAGAGCAAAAGTGGTCTGGGATCGCTAACCCCATTTCATGGATGAAGGCTCAAAGCTTGCCCAAGGTGACCAAAGAGTCAGTGACAGATTGGATATGGAAACCAGATCTTCTAGGTCCTAAAGCAGAAAAATAAAAGGGTCACCGAGGCACTTCAGTCTATCTCTGGGGCGCCACCACTCCTGACACGCTGGGTAAGTGTACTGGCCTCGCTCTAACCCAGTAGCTGGTTTGCACATCTACCTTCCCTCTCACAGGGGCTTCCTGAAGGCACAGGCAGCTCTGTACTCCCCAGGCCTGGTTCACAGCTCCGCCAGTGTGCTGCTCTTTGCCTGCTGTTTCGAAGCCCCCTGGGAGGATGCCAAGGCCACTTCCCATTCCATAGTATACCAACCACAACCTGACCGAAACGGTGACTGGCGAGAGAAGCAGCGACCGTGTTTTGGTCGCAGTGTTCCTCCGTTCTCCCTTCCCTCTCCATGTGCCTTTTCCTACGTGCCTTGTGATGGTTACTAAGGCACCGAGCTCCCCACCCGGCTAAGGAAGACTGATAACAAAGATAAGCAGGAGGGCAGTCTGCACAGAACTAAATTTGGAATTAACAGCTTTCTCACAATATTTCTGGAACAATGAGTTTTTAAAAACTAACAGGGATATATGTCTGTATTGAGAAGATACAAAAACCACAAAAATACCTGATGCTGTGCATTATAGTCTCTGAAAAAAACAAAACCGGGGTCTGATGTCCAGAAAACATGCCTGCATCAGTAGGCAGAAGGGACACTTAGCCTCACGCCCACTCGCACACAGCGAGCAGGAGAGCGCATTGAGCCCCCTGACCGGCCGGGGGCGGCCGTGACCCGGTGCATACCTGCTGGGTTTCCTGAGCCTGGGCTGGGGGAACAGAGGTGGCCTGTGCGGACGAAGAGGCGAGGTGAGGCGAGGTAGGAGGTACCGTGCTGGCGCGAGGCTGGGTCAGGAAGGCCTGCTGCTCGGGGACATCCGCGGACGAGGTGGGCGCGCGAGTCCTGCCCTCCTGGGAGATTACGGGCTGCTGGCCAAGCACCAAGAACACCAGCTCCTCTTTCTCCCGGCACGTTTCGGTGGAGGTGTCATGGAGGCTGAGATAGTCCCTGAGGTCCTTCACCTTCATCTTCATGAGCTCCTCCCGCCGAAAGGCTGTGGCTCGGAACCGCTGGCACAGAAGGCAGAGGCGGGGCCCGTTTCCCACCTGGCTCGAACAGCTCAGGCAGAAATTCTTCTTGCAGTCCAGGCAGGTCTGCTGCTTAGAGCAAGAGGCGGCGGAAACCATGTCAGACGGAGGACAAGAGGGGTGCGATGGGGGCCTACGGCTGCATGCCTAGCAAGGCCTCCCCCAATCACTCCTACTTGTACTAAGCTACCTATTTTTTAGGCTATTTTAAAGTAGGCCCCGCAGCCCGACATGGGGCTTGAACATGTCCCCGAGATCAAGAGTCGGGCGCTCTATCGACTGAGCCAGCCAGGCGCCCCAGGATGCGGGTGCCAGCTCCCTTTTTCAGGTTAAACACCACCCCCAGATGGCAGACCTCCCCCCGCCCCGTATGCATCTGTGTATCCATGTACAGGACGCTACGTTTATTATTCCAGTTGAGGCTTACTTTTTCATTGTACAGATAGAAAAACAGAGGTTACTAAGAATACCAACTTTAGGGTCGGAAAAAAAAACCAACATTTTTATTTAGTCTCCCCCCTCCACTGTTTTCAAAAGTTTATTTATTTATTTTTTGAGAGACAGCACAAGCAGGGGAGGGGCACAGAGAGACAGAGGATCGTAAGCATGCTCTGCACCATCAGCACAGAGCCCAACTCGGGACTCAATCTCACAAAGCTGTGAGATCATGACTTGAGTGGATATCAAGAGTTGGACGCTTAACTGACTGAACCACCCAGGTGCCCCTCTCCCCCATTTTTTATGGTGTCACCTTGGGTGTGTAACTTAGCCTCTCTAGCCCTCAGTTTCCTCATCTGTAAAATGGGGGCAATAATAGTATCTACTTCATATGACCGTTGTATAGTTAAGAGAGAATGCATTTAGCATATCTGACACATGATTCTTCAATAAGTGTTAACTCTTTTAATTATTTCTAGGAAATGGGAGATAATTTTGAGAGCCAGGATTCAAACTCTGAACTACGATTCTTTCTACTTTACTGCTGAGAAAAGAAAGCAAATGCATATGTATGATGGTGGTTACTACTATTATTAATTAAATTTACTGAGAGGCCACGATGTGCTAGGGCCTGTCATTTAATTCTCAAAGCAACCCCGCAAAGCACTACTGTATCACTGTATTATGTATTAATGTACATAATCATTAATCAATCATTATTAACAGGCCTCCCTGTTTCACCAAGCAGTCGAGGCCCAGAGAAATTAAGCACCGTACTCGAGGGTGGGACTCACACTGCAGAGCTGGGACTCACACTGCAGGCCTGTCCATGTGGAATGTCCGCAGCCACGCCCGTTGCACCAGGCCATGCTGCCTAACTCAGTCCCGGTCAAGCCTACAGCAGGACCTAGTCCAGGGCCTGGCTCTCCATCTCCAAACCCCCCCCCCCCAGGAAGGCCCAGAGTGCTGGCAATCCAGAGACGCACGGCAGCATACCCAAGGCAAATACTCAGACAGCTACAGGGGCCCCCAGACGCGATTAAGGAGCTCTCATCTGCGCAAGTGCAGAGTGTCCCAGCCGCACGACGAGAGCACCTAGCAGGTAGGAGGTACTGCATGACAGCAGCCTCTCCCATAACGGCAGACCACACAGCACACAAGGGCTTGCTCAACTCACAGGAAGCAAATCCTCAGCCTCTAGCCCTACAGGCTGAGCCAGCACAGCGACATCTGACTGAGCTCTGTCCCAGCCAAGAGCAGGCCACACTCCCACGGCAGAGGTAATCCGTGGGCATGCTGGCATGGCCCTGGAAGCACACACTAGTCCTCTAAAGAAATTAAAAACTTTTCATCCTCTGGTGACTTGAGCATTAACTAAATATTTCTGTTCCCTCTCTTCTAAATATAGAAAGCTGAATTCAAACTCGCAAGAATGCCCGAGAGACTTAGGTTCTCCTAGGCGAGATCAGATACCCCTGTGCAGGCTGAAGAAGGCTCCAAGTGGCATTTGTGTCATAAAGGGAAACGGGCATGTCTACCAACCAGTTTTGACCACTCATACTTAGAAGGCATTTTTTTTTTTTAATTTTTTTTTTTCAACGTTTATTTATTTTTGGGACAGAGAGAGACAGAGCATGAACGGGGGAGGGGCAGAGAGAGAGGGAGACACAGAATCGGAAACAGGCTCCAGGCTCTGAGCCATCAGCCCAGAGCCTGACGCGGGGCTCGAACTCACGGACCGCGAGATCGTGACCTGGGTGAAGTCGGACGCTTAACCAACTGCGCTACCCAGGCACCCCTAGAAGGCGTTTTGAAAGGACACATATCCAGCTCCCTCACTCTCTACAGTCATAACCAGACAATAAAATGGTCAGAGCCCAAGTTAAAAGGACACATGGCTGCATGAGCATCATAACAGTCCTGAAACCTGTAGCCACTCAGGTGGAAAATAGATGTTTTGGGGTCCTGGGGGGTTCATTTAGATCTAAAGCTTTTCTATTGGGAAATGAAATACGTTTAGGATGACTGATCATGAAATGACGAGGCTTTGGTGTCATAAAGCTGCAGGTCCTGACGTGGAACATTACTTAAGTCAATGCAGTTTGACAAGACCTAGCCTGACGCAATTAAAAAGCCCTGAGTTGCTCAATCAGCCAGATCTAAACAACTCTCTATTCTTTCTTCAAATGTGCCCAGCTTATTGGATTATTGGATGCAAGATCAGAATGCAAAGGCAGCCACCCAGCTTCTCCATATCCCCTTGCTCGCAGGGGACTCTCAAGTCAGCCAGCATCTGAAACACCCCCTCAAGGAGTGAGACAGCCTCCAGGCTAGCATACCAGCCTGCAGAGCCAGGACAGAACAAAGGGAAAGGAGAAAACGGCTGTCAACAAACGTGGGCAGAATGAGCAAAGGCAACACGTGTGTATAAATTCTAGCAACCCCTGCAAACTAACTGAGTAACAAGGAAGCATGAAAGATGAGTTAGCGGAGCCAACATCCCTGCAAAATTGCCAAGAGTACAGCACCTCCAGGCAGGCACCGCCCTTCAAGGGATGCCCGGCGTGGGGGGCGGGGGAGGGCACGTCACTCTCCTTGGCTAATCTGCCCTTCTGTTATTCCTCCCCACTCCCCGTGCACACTCCCTGGCACAGGTGGGACAGCCCCTCCTCCGCACCAGCCTTCCTATGGGCATTTCTCCCTGCAGCCCACTGGGGGGGGAAGAGGACAGCCTGAGGAGTGACACAGTTAGGATTCGTTCCTGGCAGGTCCCTTCCTCGCTAAGGGAACTTGTACAAAACAAGTAAGTTCCCAGGGCATCAGATTCCTCACCTGTAACATCAGAAGGTCAACCCACCTCTAAGGGTTACTGAAAGCATTACATGAGGTCATGCATAGGAAACCTTAGCATAAGGTGGGCACTCACAAAAAAAGGTAACACAGTCACCTTTTATTCCCTTCCCCCTTTGCCTTATCTCTGAGCTTCTGCCAGTACTCTGAGATCCCAAGATCTCTTCCAGTTTCTAAGTACGACCTCCTCCTCCTCCGCAGCCTCCCCCAACTGGTCCAACTAAAGAGGCTGAGCACCAGCCCCCCCCCCCCCCACTTTCCAAAATGGTCGGGGCCCCTGCCAAACTACACATGGGTATTGCAAATACAGAGGAGGTTTTTGGCTTGGGGCAAAACCTTTGGCTTGTCATCCCTCTCTAGGACTAAAAACTCTAAGGCAGGGGGTACAAGCTATGTTCTCTCCAGATAGTCCCGAATGTTATCTGTGCATTGTACTGGATGAGTATTCAGAAGATACTGACCACAATGAAGAAAAGAAAAACAGCAGGATCCTCGTAATCATTTCCTTTCAACCAACTTCTAGAAAACACGTTTTAAAAGCCTGTGGTTGTTATTTGCCAAGCCCTAAAGATATGAATGCTGATCCACTTACGAAGGAAGTTACAAATGAAAAATTCTCTTAGGAGAAAACATCCTTAATATTCACAAAATCCATTGTGAATTACACAAAATTAATTCTTATTTTTGTGGCAAGACAACATCGTACCAATAGCCATCTTTTTCCGTTCAAACTGGAACTTTTCTTCCTCTCATACCCCCCTAAAGCTCTTTTTGCTACAGAAGCTTTCTCCTTATCTCCTTGATCTCTTTCGTTCCTCTGTTCAAAATCTTTCTTGTGCTTCCTTGCTATCTGGTGACAAGCTCCTTCCAGCGGAAGTCATGGCCTTTCACCATCTGATCCCAGCGTGGTCCACCCTAACTCCTCGAGCATCCTGCACTCTGGCCAAACAGGCCACTCACAGTTCCCAAACACACCTGGCACTTGCCCCACCTCTGGTGTCTTTACTTCAGCCGCTGCTTTGCAGATCAATAAACTTTCTTTCATCCAGCTAGAATTATCTGGTGTCTCAATTTACCAGCAATGCCTGATTCCCTAGTACACAACTTGCACAGTTGCTATGAGGGCCTCCTTAGCCAGCCAGGGAGCTCCCCGAGGGAAAGGCCGACTCAGCTCCGTCTCCACAAACCTGTAACCTCTAGCTGTCAGCACACTGCTGCAGCAGCAGAGTTGGGCCCTCAATGAAAATCTTCAGCATGGAATTATCAACCACGAAGTAATGAAAACAGAAACTCTCCGGCCTACTTCCTCCTTTACAAACTGTTGGCAACTCAACTGCCTAGTCATTGATTCATTTATAAAATCATATTGCCTACGACTGCATGTCAGTCACTGTTCTACTAGCACTGGGGACAGAGTTGCAAACAAAATCCACAGAATCCCCGTCCTGTGCTCCACCTCTGAAGATGGGCCATGGGCAAACATTTACGTCAGGTGGAAACAGGCACCATACACAAAAACGAAGCCTCCTCCCACGTTCACCTACCAGCCATTCTCTCTTCTCTGGGGGCAGTTTCCTTGCTCACTCATTCTCTTTTCTGGCTCAGAAATGTCAGGAACTCTCCAGATCCCTTGGTTCTCTCAACATGCTTTTCAACATGCTTAGTGTGCTGGTGCCCGAGCTGATCACCATCACTGTGCTCGCTCTCTGCTCCCCTCCACTCGCCTTCCACAGGGTATAACTGATGTTTTCAAGAAAAGGTCACACAAACCTAGAGCAAATTCACGCAGCCTCACTGAAACAAATGTCTTTCCTGTTCCAAAGGAACAGGAAGTTACTTTGCCACTTCTTCCCACGGTTGTTCCCAGCATTTCTCATTGAAAACAGCAAGGTCTTGGACTATCCAACAGACTCTAGTTGCACATGAGGAGTCCTGGAAACTACTGACTACCTTAAACAGAGAGAGCAATTTCTTCATCTCTAAAATGGGAACAAACAATAGCACACGTTTCATAGGCTGTGTTAAGGGCTCAAAGAGGGAACGCATTTGAAACACCAAGCTCAGTGCCCGGCAGGTGACAAGCAGCCCATGGGCCTCCTGCCCATCTCACTTCGGCTCCCGAACCCACCCCACCGTCTCCATCACTAAGAGGACTCCCAGCTCCTTGTAGTCTCCGCATCGGCCTCCGTCCAAGGACTCGACCTTCCAGTCTAAGTGTAAGGGGAACAGCGTCACAGCCACTAAACCACAGCTCCCTGGCCACCTGCAGTGGCCTCTCTGGTGGCATTCTAGCAGTGACCAGGGCAGCCAAGCAAATCGCGGCAAAGCTCTGCTGAGGGCCCACCTTCGCTGCAGTGGAGCGTAGGCAAAACACAACCTACGAGGCAAAATGCCAGTCCTCCTCCACCTTATGGGGACAAAAGGGTGGTCAGAGCTACAGAAATTCTCTGACGTGCTGAATGTCTTCTGGGAGGCAGCTTGGGAATTCAAAGAGCTGGGTGTGAATCCTGGCTCTGCCCTCTACTAACCACATGATCTTGGAGGCACTACCTAAGTGGAGGGAAAAGACGGAGTCGTTCAATCCCTCTTACGCCATCTGCCAGGAACTTGACAAACAGTCTCCTTCTTAACGGTTAAACTCTAAAGCCTCAGTTTCTCATTTGTAAAATGGGAGTTTCGGGACCCTGAAACCTCTATCACAGAGACACTGCGAGGATGAAATGAAACCAAAACATCCACACAGCTCACAGCAGACCCTGGCATACAGCACGTGGCTTAAAAAGTAGCTCTTCCTCTCAAAGTCCCCGTCAGCGCCATTCTAACATCACATCCAGGGCGGCAAACTGCCTGCTCTGCAGAAGAATGCAGGAATTCCCAGGTCAGGGTTCACCTTCAGCCCCGGCCGTGCTTGACCGAGGAGAATATGCCGCCTCTGAGCCCTAACCAGGGACGCCCGCACCCAGGCACAACTCCCCAGCCACTGGTCTCCCCTGCTGCTTGCTAATCTGGAAAACATGATGACTACTGCACACGGCCAGTGAAGTCGCTACAGTAAAGGAGCCCCGGTCTTTGTCCTGTCAGGGTCTTGATGTACCTGAGATGTCCTCGGCACTGCGAGTGATAAAAAGAACAAGTTAATCTGCGGCCGGGCTTTTTATGACGACAGCGAATGAAGGGAGTAACACTGAGTGCCTGCTCCGTTCCAAGCATCATGCTGGACGCCCCTGGTGGCCTAACCATTTTATTCTCACGACACTGTCCGATGCGTATGACTATTACACCCCCATTTTAGAGACGGGGGTGGGGAAAGAATCTCCAGAAAAGTTAGGTCATATGGCTTGTAAGCAGCAAAGCTGACATCTGAATTCAGGCCTGTCTGGCTCCAAATCTACGCTGAGATGCTCTGCTTTGGGCTAGTTTTTCTTTAACAATCTTGTGAAGGGATCAGGTGTGGGTTATGGGATCAGGCAACGGCAAGGCGACAGGCATTACGGAGGGGTCGGCAGGCTTGCCCGAGGACCTGAGGCTGTAGCGGCCCAGCAGGCCGTGAAGTCAACACTCACCTTCCTGGCCATGTTCGCGAAGTGGGCCCCGCAAGCCTTGCAGCTTGGTTCCGAGCCTGTGGGGGAGGGGAAGGAGCTGTACCCAGGGTTGGAATAGGCCTGCGTCCTGGCTCCCTGGGGCGGGGGGACCTCCTCAGGCTGTCCATCCAGGCAGAACCAGTTGCAGCAGGTTGCCCACATGATAAAATCTGGTGCGAGGGAGGAAGGGGAAAAGGGTCAGAGTTAAGACAAACCTCTACTGCATTCCCCCATTCCCGAGGGCACAAGTGAGCCGGGATACTCAATCCACACCTGCTGCCAGAGTCGAGCGTCGAGGTGAAGACATGTTTTCAGGGGCCGTAGGTTTCTCGCCACCTCCTGCTTTACCAGTGGCCATTGCACACAAGACAGACGCCTGATCTACCAGGACGACACGGACAGCCGAGATGGCACCCTACCTTTGAAAGGTTGCTGAGCTATGTTTTGGTTTAATCTGAGACCTGACTTCAAGTAAAGAACTGCCTTAGCAATCGTAAGTGACCTAATACCCACTTTATTCAGGAAGATGAATTTGCTCCTAGAACTCAGATAGATAGAACTTTATCAGGGGCGCCAGTGTGGCTCAGTGAGTTAAGCGTCTGACTCGGATTCAGCTCAGGTCATGATCCCATAGTTTGTGAGTTCAAGCCCCACATCAGGCTCTGCGCGGACAGCTCAGAGCCTGCTTAGGATTCCCTCTCTCCCTCTGCTCCTCCCCCGCTTGCGTTCTCTCTCTCTCTCTCTCTCAAAATAAACAAAAGGTTTTTTTTTAACTTAAAAAAAGAAAGGACTTTATCATACATGCACATACACACACACAAGTATAATCCCATATTCACAATGACCATGGAGAGGAACTATTACTATTTCCTTTAGAGATGAGGCAACCCAGGCTCAAAGAAGTCAAGGTCACCCAGCTAATATACAGAGAACTGAGATTCTGAAAACCCAGGTCTTCTGACTCTAAACCTAACGTTCTTTTCCTGTACCATGCCACCCACCTTGATTTCCCCTCTGCCGGCCAGCAGAGCAAACTGCTCTGACGTTTGTTCTTCCAGTCCTTCCTAAACCTCTCTCCCAGCAGCTTAAACAGTTTGTTGCACAGACATTCTTACCCTCTATTTTCTGCCACTAAAGCATAAATTCCTTGAGGGCAGGGATGACTTCTTAGCCACGTGTGTACTGCATCCTAGCAGTGTCCTGCACACAGAAGACGCTCAACCAATGTTTGTAACCTTGCTGAAGAGGTGCCTCTATGGGTTTATTAAGAAATTCTGGAATATTATTCCCATTTAACATATCAAATAGGGGTGCTCCTTTGTCCAAAGGAGTAGATTTTTTTTAAGTTTATTTATTTTTGAGAGAAAGAAAGTGTAAGTGGGGAAGGGGCAGAGAGAGAGAGAGAGACACAGGGAGACAGAGAAAGAGAGAGAATCCCAAGCAGTCTCCACACCACCAGTGCAGAGCCCAATAAGGGGCTCGAACTCACAAATGGCTGGATCACGACTTGAGCCAAAGTCGGATGGATACTTAACTGATTGAGCCACCCAGGCACCCCTGGTTTTCTTTTTTAATTTTAGAGAGAAAGAGTGAGAGGGAAAGAGAGAGAATCCTAAGTAGGCTCCATGCTCAGCATGATGCAGGGCTCAATCCTACGACCGTGGGATCATGACCTGAACTGAAATCAAGAGTCGGACGCTCAGCCGACTGAGGCACCCAGGCACCCCAAATGCTTTAAGTAGGCTCCACACCCAGCATGGAACCCAGTGTGGGGCTTGAACTCACAACTGAGATCAAGACCTGAGCTGAGATCAAGTTGCTTAAGCGACTGAGCCACCCAGATGCTTAAGATCACAGAACAAAGAAGATCCAACCCCTCAAATGTCAGAATAACCTAAAGTTGCAAAAGGGTCCCCTGAAATGCCAAGCATTGCCGTGATGAAGTAAGAGCGTGCTTTTCTTAGTACACCATGGCAGTCAATATGGACATTTTGAGCCTGAACTCTCTGCCTACAGAAATAATAAATGAAACATTTAGTGTTACTACTCAATAATCAGGTCACACAGAAGAATGGTACCTTCTGCTCTGCCTCCTGACTCATGCAAAGTGCCTTTGTAAATCATAGTTCAAACATGTGCTAAGCTGGGAAGTACTAACAGTAAGAAGCCGACTGGTTCAAGCTTGGTCATCTCACAGAGGAAAAGACAGAGGCCAGCAGGAGGATTCACTTCCTGGTTCACACAGCTATAACCTTAGGTCTCCTGACTACTCTAGGGCCTTCTTAGCTTCTAGCATTTCCCAATACTCCTGATGGAGAATTCATTCCCTTTTGCAGGCATGTCTGATTCACATCCGCCTCCTCCCACCCCCCACCCCCCTCCCTCCCCTGAGAACAGGGACCATGACAGTCAGCCAGTGCCCAGCAGATAGATAGCTCAACAAAGACTACAGGATGAATCACACACGGTATTTAAACTTTAATCGCATTCACTCCATTTCCTACACATCAAACACCTTGGTCTCGGCCTAGTACTTGTCCAAGGCCTCTCAGCTCCTAGAAGACAGTCTTAACTGCAATGAATAGTTCACATGGAAAAACAAAGTGAGAAACAGTTAAATAAATGAGTTCTGTGTTGGCAAGATAATGGCGCTAACAGCAGAGTGGCCCCTCTGAAAGAGGGGTTGTACGATTCTCTCAATCACCTGGACAAGAGCATCTGGGACCATGTGTTGTAATGCAAGGAATGCAGGATCTGGAACCAAAAGACCTGGGCCCAAGCCTTGCTTTACTACACCTGCCTCTAGTAAGTCCTACCTTTCTGTTCTTCCTTTTTCTCACCTGGACATTCTCTGGGCTGAGAGCCACTAAACAAATCAGTCGTTGCTACGAGCATCATAACAATAGCTCAGCCACGATTTCTCTGGCAAGGTTCAGATTAAAAAGTAAACCTAGAGATTTCCCCCACAATTACCATTGGCTTTCTGGGCTATCCTAAAAAGGGATATGGACATCTGTGACAAAATTAGCAGAAGGGGTCAAGTAACTGAAGGGGGTGGGGGCAAGGCGAGGATCAGCGCAGCCCGGCTGTGGGTGGTCTGCAACTTTGGTCAGAATCTCCACTCCCCCACACACGCAACCTTTATGGAAGCCAGTGCCTTGCTGTTTCCAGTGCTAGGCAGGTAAAGGGAGAAATCTGACCCTCGAGGGGTTCACAGTCTGGCAGGGGAACAAGAAATGTAAAAGCAGGGGCGCCTGGCTGGATCAGTCAGTAGAGCACATGTCTCTTGATCTCTGGGTGGTGAATCCGAGCTCCATGTTGGGTGTAGAGATTACTTAAAATCTTTTAAAAAGACAGAAAGAAATGTAAAGCCAAAGCTAGAAATTTCAGGGTGCTCAGTGCTTTAACAGAGGTTCCTACAGCATATGGGAGGCTACAAAGATACAATCAACTCCCCAGGGGTGGAGGGATGACCAGAGAAGACTTCTCCAGTGAGATGCCACACATATCCTGCTGTTAGAGTAACTGGCCCAGAGTAAAATGAATTTGCAAGAAAGAGCAAACTGCATGCAACATGGCATTAAAGAAACCACAAAATGGGGGTGCCTGGGTGGCTCAGTCTGTTAAGCATCCGACTTCAGCTCAGGTCGTGATCTCATAATTTGTAAGTTCAAGCCCCGCTTGAAATGGGCACGCTGTGCTGACAGCTCAGAGACTGGAACCTGCTTCAGATTCTGTATCTCCCTCTCTCTCTTTGCCCCTTCCCCGTTCGTGCTGTCTCTCTCTCTGTCTCTCAAAAATAAACAAACATTAAACATTTTTTTTTAATTAAAAAAATGCAAAAAGAAACTACAAAATGTTCAGTAGGGTCAAGAGTAAGGGTGGGGTGTGCAGCAGGCAAACGAGCAGCCACTAAAGACCACGATAAGGAATCTGGACTTTATCCTGCAAGTAATGGAACACGGTGAGGGGTTCAGGCAAGCAGGTTTTCTGATCTTATTTACATTTTAAAGTGGGCACTCTGCCGGTAAGCAGCCTAGGGAACAAGCCTGCAAGGGGAAGGCCAGGAGCAGGAAGCTGCTATAGTACAGTCAAGACACGAGGGCACGGGCGTAAGAGAAAGGCACAGACAGATCTCTGACGAACTCGTGGGATGTGTCAGTGAACTGAAGCAGTGGGAGAATGGGGAGAGAAAGCAGTCTTGGACGAATCCTGGGGGTCTCTGAAAAAAACAACAGGACACGGTAGAAAACTGTAACGAGGGACAAGGCCCTCAGGAGGAGGCATGTGTCTGTGTGAAGGCAGCGAGCAGTTAAGACGACAAGTGGGGTTTTGTACCCAGGGGACTTGCTGATGGACACAGCACACAGGAGCATAGTCCTGGTTGAGGACAAAGGTCTGGGAATCCTCAGCCTGCTGGAAGCATGACAAGCCAGAACAGGGCAGAAGACTGAATTAGACAGTGGGGGGTCAGAGAGGGTGGCCAGGGAGTGCCCCGGGGAAGACCCGACCTAAAGGGCTAGTGGAGGAAAACCATCACAACAGTGGAAGGAAGAATGCTCAAAGGTGGGCGATCTGGGGGCACCTGGATGGCTCAGTCGGTTAAATGGCTGACTTTAGCTCAGGTCATGATCTCATGGTTCACGAGTTAGAGCCCCGCGTTGGGCTCTGTGCTGACAGCTCAGAGCCTGGAGCCTGCTTCGGATTCTGTGTTTCTGTCTCTCCCTGACCATCCCCTGCTCACGCTCTGTCTCTCTCTGTCTCTCTCTCTCTCTCAAAAATAAATTTAAAAAAACAAACAAAAAACCAAAACTAAACAAAACAAACAAATAAAAACAAAGGGGGGGGCACCTGGAAGAGGGTTGTGTTTCAGGAAGAAATGATCAATGCTGTCAAATGACCCGGAGAGTAGAACGCATGGAATACAAAATGTCCAATGGACCCAGGCCCCAGTTTCAAGAAAACGTGAATATGTTCTTCAACCGAGCAGTTAAGGAAGAGAGAACCTGATGGCTAACCACAGGTCAGATGTGAGGATGAGCCAGGCCCTAAGGATTAACTGTTCTCTGAAGAAACTTCTGGCCATGAAGGGAAGAGAGAAGGCCAGAGCTAAAGAGGATGCAGGTTACTAACACAAGACAGAGAAATGCAGAAACTGCAGGAGACCCCC